GGTCACTGCGTACATAACAAACAGTAATCCTTCTTTTCTACCAAAAGAGTGAATTAATACTATGTATGCTGTACACACTCCTACCTCCCTGTCTTACCAACATTACTTCTGCCTTCAGCAGCTTTGGCCAGAAGCTCGTCTAACCAACCCTCTCCTCTGTCAGATAGTCATGCTGGTGAAGGAGAACCCTGTGCTGGTGGACGTGGCAGCTCTGGAGAAGTGCTACCAGGTGATGGACCTGCTGTGTGAGCAGTGTGTGAAGCAGCAGGACATGAACGAGGTCCTGGCCATGAAGATGCACTACATCAGCTGCGTGCTGCAGAAGTGTGTGGCCTTCTTACACAAACGAGACGAGAAGCTGGACACGCTGGTCAAGTGGTGAGGCTTCTGACAAGTCTGTCGTCTTCTGAATGTGTTTTGTGTCTTTGTTTTCAAATTGCCCTTTTAGCAGTTTGATAATCACAGGCCCAGCTTTGAGCCCCACATCTGTCCTGGTCTAGTTTTAGTAGCAGGAACAGAATCAGATCATGTAGGATGTAGTTTCATATTATGTACAATAAGATGTTGTTTGTTCTGTGGGAAAACCCACTGAGAGTCTGAAATGAGCATTTATATTGTAATAACCACGATAAATACCCTTTCATTTGTCCTTGTGACTCGGTGCAGCCTGCTGAAGGGTAGAGACGGCGATGGTTTCCCTCAGTACCAGGAGAAGTTCATTCGGGACTGCATCAGGAAGTTTCCCTACTGTGAGGTCACTCTGCTGCAGCAGCTGGTGAGGAGCATCGCACCCGTAGAGATCGTAAGTGAAGAAGATATCAGGGATCTGGAGTGTAGTACGTTAAGAGTACATACATTAACAGTTAGTAGTGGTAAAGGGGGATATTCTTCCTTATGAATACCGATGACTGAACTTCAGCATACTGTGACATCTCTTTTCCAGGGCAACGACCCGACAGCGTACACGGTTCTGACCCAGGCCCTGACCGGTCAGGTGGTGTTCGTAGATGCTGACTACTGCGCTACATGTGGAGACAGGGGAGCAGAGAAGAGATGCTCCTTCTGTAAAGCAGTAAGTCTGTTGTCTGTACATAATATCATGTAGGGGTGTCACAGGGAGACTGAAACCTGTCCCAGCTGACTCAGGGTGACAGGCAGGGTGCACCGACCACCTCACCCCTCACCCACCAAAGGTTCTTTCTTGTGCTTCCAGGTGACTTACTGCAGCCTGATGTGCCAGAAGCTTCACTGGTTCACCCACAACAAGACGTGTCGGTCTCTGCAGGAGCAGGATGCGGACCTGGAGAAGGACGCTCCGAGGCTGAAAGAAATCAAAGGTGCTCAGCTTTTACCTGTACGATACACCTGTTTGTTTGAATAGATGTTGCTGTGGATTCCTGTGGGTTAGCCCTTTCCTGAGCTTCATTATATTTGCCTCAAAAGGGAATTCCATAAAACGCACATGAAGCATCTTTTACTGCTGATGATTGATTGATTGATTGTGAGCTACAACAGCACTTCACTCTGCATGTCTCTGGTCCTTGTTAGATGATGAAAGCAACCTGGTCATGGAGACGGCCAACTTCCTGCAGGAGCTGTGTCTGCGAGCAGAGGAGAAGGTCGCTGCTGCAGGAGGCTGCCCTGCAGAGCTGCTGGCGTGTCCCTCCACCTCTGCTGAGGGCCGTCCTGGACCCAGGACTGAAGCAGAACCAAAAGCCAACGATGCTTAGTCACTTTGTTAAATCTCTACAAAGGTCTCACATAGAAAGGCTGAACGGAAACCAGCAGGATACGTCCTGTACTGATGTATACGTGTCACACAGATAGATCCGCATAATCGATGATAAAAATACAGTCCTGTCAGGTACACAGTCATCATGTTTAATATCCATCCATCATCTCTACAACTTAATCCTCACTCGGGTCATGGGGAGCGGAGTCTATCCCAGCTGACTCAGGGTGAAGGCAGGTTCACCTGG